TTCTGAGCAACTTTTATTCATTTTTCGATTTCCCTTCCCGTCGGACATTGTGCTTCCCCTCAACTTACTCTCCCTTGGCAAATAATATAATCCAGCCACTTGCAGTAAGGAAACCATGACCAAAAATAACAAAACACGGCAAAAAAAAAAAGGGAAAAAATACAGATACCGCTTTTCGTTCCCTTTCACCGCGGGAGCACGGTCACCGTCACGACGCGACCTCTCCCTTGACGCCATCCCCAATACCCACCCCAACCCCGATCTCAACATCCGGCAACCCATCGAACCGCATCCTTTTCGAGGGAGAATCCGCCTCCGCATTCACGTTCACATTACCGTTATTCACACCCGCACCGACATTGGCATGATTACCAGAGGATTCGCCGTGGTTCCCCAAGAACGCTGCCTCCTCATGCTGATGCTTCCGCATCCCTAGTCCCGCGACGGCAATGCGATTCAATGCGCTGACCTCCGCCTGGTCGCCTGCGCTGGCCCCACCACCGCCACCGGTGGTCGTAGCGGCGTTCCCTGCAGTGACTCCGGCAGTGGTCGAGGAATTGATGGCGGGTGCAGGGGGGTCATTCCGCGGTTGCGACAGGTCGATGTTTCCCGGAAGCTCGGGGACTTCGTTCTGCGAGTCGATGAGGCGCGATTGGAGAGAGATGATATACTCGCGCAGCTGGTAGTTTTCGGCCTGGATAGCTTTGTAATTTTCGACGAGGATTTCATAGTCTTTTACTTGTTCTTCGAGTTTGCGGATGTAGCCTTCTTTGCGTTGGCGGAAGGCTCTCTGTGTGGATATTGGCATGACGTGTCAGTGGTCGCGTCGGGAATTTTTGTCAAGAGCATGATATATACTATAGGGGAGGGTGGGGAATGAGACCACATACCTGAGCAGCCCGGTTCTGCGCGGCACGTTTGGAGGTGGATAATTCGCGTTTGCCGTAGGTTTTGCGCCCGTCGGCGTGGTCTTCCATGGGGAGATCAGGGGCATGTCCCTGGGCTGTGGTCGCCACTGTAGTTGGTGGCGAATGGATCATCGCGGAAGCTCCAGCAATTGCTGGGTCGATGGTGATGTTGGCTGTATTGGCGCTATTGGTATTGTTTGGGTCGCGCACCGAGGCGGCTGATGCGCCGGGCGTTGGACGGGGCGGAGGAGGGGCGTGGTGAGCGTGAGTGTGAGGGTGGGGGTGGGATTGATGGAGATGCTGCGCCTGAGCAGCCAGGAGCTGGTCGTGGAGGACTATATGATATCAGTGAGTGACAGCGTACTTGGAGGTAGATATGGATCTACACGTAGGAATTAGGATAGAATCTCACCCTGATCGGCATGGTCCTGTTGAGGGCAATTGAATTAATAAAACGGTTCTCATAATATTGTAAAAGGTGCAAGGGAAGGGAAGCGAGAGAACTCCCACCTGGACTTGGTTTTTGAGGTCTTGCATTTGGGGATGAGGCGCTGGAGCTAGCGCGTGCTGCGAGCTCATAATCTACCTGAGATGAGATAGCTCGAGATGCGCTTGGATGGGAAACTTGGTGGCGAATGGATGATGGGAAGATGAGTAAGGAGTTATTTAATCGGCGGCGGGGAGTAGTCAGCAGCAACGGGGTCACGGTGAAGTAGAGGAATGGCTCTGCCCCTTGTCGCTGTCGTGGACTTTGTCAGTCGGCGAGTGGCAATCACAGGATCCTAAAGGCCGAAGAAGGGAATAACGCGATATCTGAACATCAAACCCTCGCTGTCGCTCTCGTTGAAGCCTCGAGATTTTGCAAGTTATAGATGGAGAAGAAGAAACTGGATCAGTCAGCAGCGGATGAATCATGGATTATTAAGGGCGGGCCCGATCGAGATCTTGGCGCTTACTCAGCAGTAAGAGCCTGACAAATCCACTGGTCGAGATTCCCGAGCCTCCGCGAGAGTATCACGGATCATAGAAAGGGACAGCAAAGGACAATGAGGAGGACCCGGAGTTAGAACTCGGATCTCCCGGAGAGTACACCATCGCACGTCTGTTAGTCAGATAGGATTGGTGTTCGACCGGGAATATATGGATGCGGTTTAAGTCTACGCCGAGTTAGGCTAGAAATATAGCCGAAAGAGTAGCCAGAGGGCAACGAAACTCGTGGTAACACGATCTTTTCTGATAGTTCGCAACTATCGCTGGGTGTTCTATACCCTTACAGATGTAGTTATATTATATCTATTACATATTCTAACTAGAGCATGAGCAATGATGGGCTTTATTTCCGGCGACTTTCTCATCTTCTTCTCCTACCAACGCTGCGTAGCATTTCCTAGCTGTAATTAAAAGGTGTTGGCGCGGGTCCCGATCTGGGAAGTCTGAGATTGGATGCGGTACTCCGTAGTTGGTCCGTCCCCTCTCTCTCTCTCGCCCCGCGGTAACATAACTGAGCTGCTTTTCAAGGCGACTGACATCCAAATCCAAATCCAAGTCAACTTCCTCGAAAGGGTTTGGCCCAGTCTAGATCAATGGGATGACTCAGCTGACTAAGATAAAGAGTTGGTGGCTAATACGAACCAAGTGCGCCACTCCAGCGAAGGCCAAGCATGTTGGCGCAGCGGAAGCGCGCCGGGCTCATAACCCGGAGGACCTTGGATCGAAACCAAGACATGCTAACGAAGACGGAGTTTTTTTTATGGTTACACTGGAGAACGAACAATAAGACTATTTGACCGGGAACTGGACCGCGGGATATATGTATGTATCTATCTTAATTTTTTTTATCCTCCACGGATATTGAATGGAATTGGATTTCTCCGTTTTTAGATTGTGCGTGGAATCGAAATCGTCATTGGCAGCTAACCGAGATGCGTGAAGGTACATGTTACTTCAGGGGGAAAAGGGGGGCAAGCGGGAATCAAACGGCAGGGGAAAAATTAGGGCAAACCCTGTAACGAAAGGGGAACATATCGAAGCATTGCAAAGACAGATCGATACATACCAATGTTTCTGCCGCATGTTGCTATCAGTTATCAGTGATAAAATGATGATGATAAAAACAAAAGAAAACAAAACCCAACCGGCACACCATTCACCCTCCGAGATTACGCTTCTGCTCTCAACCACACCTTCAGTTCCAACAACTATACTATTGCGCCTTCTTCTCCTCTTTCCCTGTGCTCAACTCTGCATCAATGATCCCCTCGCCAACAACACTCGCCTCCCACGCCCCTCGCTGTCGGCCCCAGAACACATCTGCCGCTGATGAGTCGTGCTGGCTCATCCGTCGCGCATCCTCCTCGAGCGATTCCCGTGTGATCCTCGTCTCCTCTGGCCCCCCGCAGTGAGAACCCTGTGCCTTCTCCTCCCGCCTCTCCCGCGCCAGCGTTGCGTCGAAATACTGTTTGCGCACTAGATACCGCGCCAAACGCTCCTGGCGCGTTGCCGGTGTCTCGATTTTTGATATCCCCACCTGCACCACCAGCCGCATGACGAGGTATATATGCTCCGCGAAAAATATGACAAGCAGCAACACCCACCCGGTGATCTGCGAGGGACTGCCGTCCGGCCCCACGCCGTCGTTGGAGAATAGATACACCAGAGCCGCGTTCGTGATGCTGCCCAGCCATGCGAGGAACTCGATCGACTGCACCCAGGACCCGATGCTGTCGGACCGCAAGGGGACGGGCCGCCGGCACTCGAGACAGATCTTGACGAAGTCGGAGCGCAGCTCGATCCAGTTATTTACCAGGAAGGAGAGCGGCACGAGCGGCCAGACGACGGAGAAGAGAGAGAGGTAGCCGAATTGAACGCACATTTCGCGGAAGTCGGCGGTGACGTCGTATTCGGTGAGCGTTGCCTCGTCGCGGACCCGGGCGAGGAAGTCGGATTCGCCGGGTGCGTCTTCTGGTATAGCAGCCGTTCCAGGCCCAGGGGTGGACGAGCCACTGTTCTTTTTGGATTTGGCATTTTCTTCCGTGTATTTTTGGTACTTCCGGGTGAGCTTGCGTTTGGCATACGGAAGGACGATCTCGAGGCCCTGGTTAACTATCTGAGCCGTGACGGTGAAATAAATAACCTGCTTGCGTAGTCGGGATGGGTTGATTTGGAAGGGGGTTGCGGACGTTTGTAGCTGGTTTTTCTCCGAAGTTTTTGCGAATGGGTTCCTGGTTAGATTGAATAAGTCGAGGTACGGCACTATTACCTTTCCGAATGGCACGTAGACGAAGGCAGTAAGGAAAACCGGGAGGTAGGATGTGATAAAATTGAGAACGAAGATTTTGTGAGTTAGCGCTAGGTCATAGCTGTCCTGCGTTTCATAGTTTTCGTAATCGGTAAGTCGTTTGGCGATACTGGTTAAAACGGCGGAGATCGTCGGGACAAATAGAGAGAGCAAAATCGTGGGAATGAACACCAAGTATGACTTGAAGGGCCCTGTGTAAACCTCAGAAATGAAGATCTCAATCGCAAAACAAGTGGCTATCAGAGTGCCCAATGCAAGAACTGCGGCAATCGCAAACGGCGCCTGCAAAAGCTGCCTGCCCAACCGCGTGGTTGACGGGAACACAAACGACTCCTCGCCAGTTGCGGGATCAATAGATTTTGAAAGGTACTTAAACTCCCGTCGTTTCGTGTGGATTTCGGAAACGTTTTTCACCTGCCAGCGAATCCGCAGGTCGCGTTCCTGCCGCTTCCACATTTCAGTAAACACGACGCATGACAAACAGTTCACGATTGCATAAACGATTGAGAAATTGCCCAGTAGGACCCAGCACGCAACACCAAAGCTTGCGGGGAAGATGAGAAATGAGAAATACGACTGCAGGAAGGCGAAGTAGAAGCCGATCTTTTCACCATGGTGGTTCCGGATCTGGTCAAGGTCATCCGCGGTGAGGAATGTTTTGCTCGTCCAGGCTTTTATCCAGGTCTTGTTGAGGAGCTTGTCATGCAGCGGGAAGATTGAGTCTACATTATCCCACTCGCCTTGCTTGGGAGTGATTCCTGCACCACCCTCGCTGGAGGGTGCAGTGATCATATTGTAGACTATGAGGAGTCGTTCTGCATCAGTCTCGGGGATACATGAGCCTTTCGCATCGGGATCTGGTTGCGAATTGCGCACGCCATGCAGCCAGTCTCGTACCCTATATGCGGGCAAGTTAAAAATAGAAATAAAATAAATAAACAAGAGATAAGTTTTTTAAAAAAGAACAAAAGAAGAAGAAATGACAAAGAGTGAATGAATCGATTGGCACATGTGAACGGAGCGTACCTGGATCGATACAGAGCTTTGCCCAAGTATTTTTCCTGCGCCTTTACAAAGATGAGAAGGCTCTGGTCTATCCCTGGGCGTACCTCTGTCTGCAGCCCCACATCCGAGAGAGCACGGATGAGCTTCTTGAACTGCTCCTTCGCCTCATTTTTATCTACACCCTGTCAGCTATGGAATTCTCAGTTCTACGGACTGGAAATATCAGCACGAACCAATGCTGGAGAAGCGGTAAAGGACAACATAATCCACCTCAAAATTCTCCGCCAAAGTGTTTTGATGGGTGATGTCAGCACCCATGGCTAGCAACTACTGGGGGCTAGCGTATAAGGCACAGCGATCCGGCTACTGAGGGAAGTTCATAGCAGGGGGTATATTTGTCGTGGGAAATAGCTGTTATCCGCTGATGGTTAGTGGATAGCTGGACGTCGAAGCTCTGCCAACAAATTCCCCAGTTTCGAGCTTAGCGCCGTGACAAGGCTCCAGATCGCCAGCTACGTCATAGGCGCATCCGATGGAGCTAGCCCAGTATGGACGGGGTTAGGGCTACGGGGAGTTGAGCCCTATCAAAGGGGTCCGAGTGAAGAACTGAACAGCTGGAAAAACGAGTAACCTGTACCTGACCCTGACCTAGACACCAAGTTCCGCTCTGTGGGCTAGCTACCGAATCCCAAGGGCGGTTGCCCTTCGACTGGTAACAGTAGCCGTAAATCAGCGTCGCCAGGGAGCAGTGACCTTGGAAATTAAATGTACTAGATCAGAAGGTGATGGACATGGAGAAAACCAGGGGGTATTTACAAGAAAGAATCTATATACTTGCTTCAGAGGGAACTCCAAAACACTCCAGAAGAGCACCCCGAAAATTATTCTAACCGCGCCATAGGTTGAGCTTCAGGCAACTATGCAAGCAATCGCCTATTTGAAACATCAATCAACTATTCGCCCAAGGACCTATCCGCCGCCGCCAGCTTCGTCAGCGCCTCCCCATCCACCATCATCTTCATCCACTCCTCCATCCCCTTCGCCCCTACACTCTCGCTCTTATAGAACTTGATGCTCGGCTCGTTCCATCGCAGCACACTCCACTCCAATCGCTTCCCGCCAACCTTGCATACCTCTGCAGCCAACCGCCGCAGCAGAGCAAGACCGTACCCTTTGCCCCGCTGTTCTGGCTGCACGAATAGGTCTTCGAGATAGATCCCCGGTGCCGAGCGCCAGGTCGAGTAGTTGTAGAAAAACATGGCCATGCCGGCAGGCGACGGGGTAGGGTCAGTGGGGCTGGCTGGAGGGCTGACGAGGAGGGTGTAAGTGCCTGAGCATTTGGGAGGGGAGGAAGGGAAGGAGAGAGTTGCGAGGAGGGAGTCGACGGTTGCTTCGACTTCGTGCGAGGCGTTTTCGTAGGCGGCGAGCCCTTGGATGAATTGCAGGATTGTGGGGATGTCTGGGTTTGTTGGATGAGAAGTTAGGAGGGATCCAATTGGCTTTCATGAACATGTTTCATGTATTAAGGGATTTGTTTGGGCTCACCCTCCTCAGTCGCAAACCTGATAACGGGTTGGTCGGCCATCGGGATTGACGCTGGTCCGCGGAGGGAGACACGGCGATAGCAATTCGGACTTGTCGTTGTAGTATTGAGTGGGAAAAACAAAGATACAATTTCTCTCAACTTGATAGTAGGGATATATCTCCGCAGTAAAATATTTTTGTTTTAGTTCCTTTCTTTTCTTAGCCTAAGCTAAGGGTGAAAGGCAGACATTCCCCGCATTAGTAAGCCAGGGGAAACCGAGCCATGTAAAACATCCGATGCACACCTCAGGTATACTTAGTAGTGTCCGGTATGGCTTTAAATAACCTCGTCTCTGAAACCGTACCGCTTGCGCGTCGAAACTCTCCAACTCTCCAACCCACCGACTTAGATCCAAATTAGCAAAAGGGACGAATAGGATAATTTTGAGCCGTTTCAAATTCATCTGCAAAGCTCTCACCCTTGATGAGGCTGTTGATCGAGCTTCTGTTGAGAAGTTGCGTTGATGTGTCCAAAACCCTGAGGACGAATCAAGGACCGAGACGAAGTGATCGACCATTGTGCGACAGTTGAAGTGAAAGATAACTGACATGAGGCTGAACAACATCGAAATCGTGATGCTACAGTCGCCGAAAAGAGAGGGAATAGAATCGAGCGTGTCTGTAGCCATTTCCACACAGTTTATCTCCATTTCAGTGTCCCGGGGAGCAGCCTGCCGAGAATCCATTAGCTCTGAATGGCATCATGGGTCTCCGGACCTAGGACCTATATTTCAGTGTAAAGAATAGAAAAAAGAAAAGCAAGGAAAAGGAAAGGAAGTGGTGGCGTACGGACATTTTCCAACATGCTTGGATGCGAAGGTCTCCATTACTGGCAACTTTGAAACAAACAGTGAAATTCCTGGCCAGCACCAGTGCTTAGTCTCGCTGCTGCCGCCGAATAACACGCATACCGCGAGCCTAGTTGATTAAACTGGGGGGTGAAGATGAGACAGCCCAGAAAATGTTACCCCACCGTCGGGATCCATGAATGCGGACGTCGGTTGACGAATAAACGAGAAATCCTTGCCCCACCTATTAAGCCGCTTCGGGGATTTATGTTTTGGCGCGCAAGAGGAGCAACGTCACATATAGATTTGGTGTTATGGCAAAACCTAGAGGTCGATATGGGCAAATCATACTAGCATATAAGATCAACTCTGGGTCTCTATCTGTCTTCATCTGGATCGCATCCGTGAGACCGGGGGGAATCACTCGCACCGATCAAAGCTGGTAATGCAAAGTCTAGGAAAGTTGGACAATTTTATAATGCTGCGGGTGGTGGGGACAAGAATAACATCAACTGCGGTTATCATTCCGACTTGAACGGGCATCACCGCCTACCGGAACAACTTGAGAGAGGGGTGGATCAGGCTTTATTTGGTTACGGCACTTGCACCAACGTTTCAATGATAATCCCTCTCTCCAAGAGACAGTCAAGAATTTGGCTGCATTAGCAAAAAGGCATTTTCTATTTTTAATTCGCAGTTGGCGTGCTAGTCAACAAAAGTAGACATCCGGACCCTCCACCGGACTTCCACCGGATTTCCGGAAGGGGACTTTTGTTCACAAGAACTCTTCACCAAACTGCTTCCGATCAAAAACCGGTCGTGGACTTACGGCGACTAGAGATGTATATATATATCTCGCAGTTTTATTAATACATTCAACATCCAACGAGTAGTCAAATGTTTCGTACTACTTTTATATATGTTGTATATTTATATCCCCCCAGTGCTAGTCAAACTCTAGTTAAAATCTAATAACTAATATAGCCAACAGTGATCGACTGCTCTGCTTCCCCACGTTCGCTAACTCACTACGAATCAGTGGTATTTTCAATGCAATATCAAACAAGTGGTGCATAGTCACTACTGCATAGAAGTTCCATGGAAGAGTGATAGCCGACTCGGTAAAGAGATCGAGTCAGCCAACCACAGCCGCTAATCCATATAGGGCCTGGCTCCTCTTTAAGCTTTCTTCGGTCTCGGCAAAGGGTCCTTTTGAGGCTAAAGCTTGGCGTTGTTTTGAGCCCCATCAGCCTCAGCCGAGACCATTTTAGTGCGACAATTGCATCCTTCCATCCTTCACCCCTTTCCTGCTGTGGGCCCTATGGGTGCTCCGTCAAGTCCTAGCCTCTACCTAACCCCCTTAATCCGACCTCCATTCCCCCCTCCCCTAACCCTATGCTTCTGCTGTGAGTGTGTGAATGTTTTATTAGACGGGGTGTTGTCAGTTGAGCATGGCTCCTCCAATGCTTCAACCGCAACGAACTTTGAACCGAGTCAGGGCCTCAGAATTTATTGGCAAAAATCCCAACCAGGGCCCTTCAAGGTGCTCTTTGAATCCCCGTTCAGATACTCCTATTTTTTTGAACCGAGTCAGCAGCATCCCCGTCCGTCGTAGCGCGGTCAACCGAGTTACGCGACGCTTGGTCGAGCCGTTCCCCGGCTTGGTTCATCTCGGCGAGTTTCCAGGGTGCGCCTGGTTCTGCACGTTCGTGAGTTCGCAAGCTTTGAAACTTCAACCGAGTTCGCAACCATACATAGTATAAATAGCAAGCTTATCCCTGCCATGAGAGCTACCCTTGCTATGACGGCCAGTCATGTCTCCGCCTTTAAATAACTGCAGAACTTACTTGGCAAGGGGAATCAACGCCATTCATGACCGGGATTCGTTGACAGAAAGCTGCCGTTTCAGCACCTCAAAGACCCGTTCTCAGTATAGACGAAACGTATTTCCAACCCCTGTCTGTTTATGTCCGACACTGGCTACAAAACGGCTGGTATTCGGCAAATGGATGTTAACCCCTGATCCTCCCGGCTATTTTCCCAAGAGGTAGATGCCGCAGTGAGTTGAGTTTTGTTTAACTCTGAAAAAATGTATGCCGTGTCTGGAAGAAGAATAATCTAAAATGTCTTCTGTAGGCTTTGACCTTGACCTCTAGTGAAGACTATTACAGCTCGTTGTCCTCCATTGAAGAATTCGTCTAAACTTTTCGCAGCGAAAGATCTTCTGCCACATCTGACCTCTCACCAGATGATGTCTCAAAAGGCAAATTAGCTGTGAGAATTGGCTTTTGTGACAATCTCTCGGTTTGCCGGCCAACGCAGCTGTAATCAAAGAAAATGATGGGTGATGGCTGTTTGGGTACATTGTGGATACTGGATTTCCGCAATGATGACTCTCAAACTTATCCATCGGAGATATTTTCAAACGAAATATTCCGCCAGACAGTCAACCAACCCTACCACAAGGTAGAGAGGTATGTGGCTGCTTCGACCTTAGTGGCTCACCAGAAATAAACACCGGCTATACTCCTCTTTTTATAGATCGAACATTGCATGATAGCTAGCCAACACCTACCTTTTCAGTGGCCACCCCCTGTATCCAGCAAACCATGCCTTACCGGATATTCCACGTCAGAGAAGCACTGTCCAGCGGTCTGGATTTACTGCCGCACTCTCGCAGCTCTATTAAATGGTTCTTCTGCTGCTCCTCTTGATCTCGCAACACTTCTAATCGTTTTCGATCATGAATCGCCCACTGTCCTTACCTCCTTTTCTTCTGGCTTATTATATTGCCGATTCTATTCTCCCGTGAGAGTCAACGCCACCATCATGAAAGACACGCAGCTTCAGTCGCTGGAGAAGGAGCTTCAGGGATCTGATGAAGACTTGACAATTTTCGGTGACTCTGAACTTGCAGAGTCGTTTGATGCGGACATCCTTGGTCAGTGTGATGCCTGGCTTCCTCCTTTACTGCTACCAAACTGACATGCTGGCTCTTAATTAGCCACAATGGGATATAAACAGGAACTTGAACGTCGTTACTCCTCTCTTCAGATCTTTTCGATTGCATTTAGCATCATGGGCCTTTTGCCATCAATCGCAGCCACATTACCTCTCTCACTCCCTGCTGGGCCTGTGGGTATGGTTTGGGTGCGTCCCAGAAAAAGTATCTCACGAATGAATATTCCTTGGCTAACGATTTTGTTCTGTCGTTTTCCAGGGCTGGTTTATTGCGTGTGGCTTCATTTTTGTTGTTGGACTTGCAATAGTAAGTGTGCTCGTGTGCTCTACGCTTCATCGTACTGCGAATACCCATCTTCAAACCGATTATAACTTCCCCTTCAGTCTGACCTTGCATCATCGCTCCCCACATCTGGTGGTTTATACTGGTGGACGCACTATTTCGCACCGGAGAAGTTTAGAAGACCATTGAGCTTTCTCGTCGGATATAGCAATGCGATTGGACTTATTGGGGGAACATGTTCAGTCGACTGTATGAATACTATCTACCAGCTCAACCTCCTGTATATTTGGCTTCCACTGACCTGGTGTCAGATGGATTCGCTCTGATGCTCTTGTCTATCCCCTCCATTGTCTCCGATGGTAAATGGACCGCCTCTGCACCCGTAGTATATGGGGTTTTTGCAGGATGTGTAATCGCCCATGCAATTGTGGCTACCTTTGCTTCCAAATACATGAACAAGATTCAAATGGCTGTCATTGTGGGTAATGTCACAATGGCCATAGCTACAATAGTTGCATTGCCAGTTGGTAAATCCAGATCCGCAAAAGGGTTGAACTCTGCAAGCTATGTCTTTACCCACCAGGAAAATCATACAGCGTGGCCAGCCGGCTGGGCCTTCATGCTTGCTTGGTTATCTCCGATCTGGACCATTGGGGGTATCGATTCATGTGTTCATATGAGTGAAGAGGCGAAGAATGCCTCAAAAGCGGTTCCTCGAGGCATTCTGGGATCCATTTCTGGATGCTGGCTCTTGGGGTTCATCACGGTTTGCGTGATTGCCCTTTCAATGGATCCAAACGTCGAAGCTTTGATACGCAGTCCTTTGGGGCAGCCGATGGCTCAGGTTTGTTCCACCGGCAATTGATAACGTACTATCTGTTGCTGATCCATTGTAAATAGATCTATTATGATGCTCTAGGAAAGAGCGGGGCTGTCGGCTTCATGGTGTTCATGGCGTGTCTTCAGTACTGCATGGGTTTGAGCTTGGTATGGCATGCGGTCCAAACGACGAAAATCTCATCGCTAATATATATCTATAGCTTGTCGCTGCGTCACGGCAAAGTTGGGCGTTCTCCCGAGACGGCGGACTTCCCTTTTCCAGCTTCTTCAGAGTGCTTGGGACGCGAATTCATTATCGCTCCCAGCCAATACGAACAGTCTGGGGCTGCGCATTCTCAGCGATGATCCTCGGCCTCATTTGTTTAGTCAACACTACCGCTGCCAAAGCCCTGTTTTCGTTAGGTCCTTCAGGAAATGCTGTGGCATGGGCTATACCTATTTTCTCCCGCATTGTTTGGGGAAAACATAAATTCAAGCCCGGTTCGTTTTATACGGGGGAACTTTACAGCAGGCCAATTGCAATTGTGGCACTTCTATACCTGATATTTGAAATTTCACTCTGCATGTTCCCCTTACGAGGACCATCTCCGACCCGTAAGCTGGCCATTACCTTCATTAATTTCTTTCTTAGTTTCTCCCTCCCCTCCCCCCCCTTTTTTGTTTTTATGCTTGAGGCATCTGAGTCTGACGCTCGAATTCAATAGCAAAATTGATGAATTACACTGTCGCTGTCAATGGAACGGTTTGGGGAAGTTGCCTGTTGTATTATTTCCTCTCCGCGAGGAAATGGTTTACTGGGCCAAAAACAACTTGGAATAAAGAAGCTCATCATCCGCAGGAATAAATCCAATAGAAAGGCGTTGAGTGGCAAGGGCATAGAAACTAATAGGCGTAAATTCCTACTGCACATATTTGGTTTGGTTTGGTTCTTTTCTTTTTTTTAAATCTATCTATCTAGCTAGCCAGCTATTTTTTTTAAATTTTCATTTATTTTTTTCATTTATTTATTTTATTTTGTTATCATGTGTTGGCATCCCTATCGCTCGCTCATTATACATACTTTTTTTTTTATTTTTTTTATTTTATTTTTTTTCATACAACAATATTATTACAAGCCATTGTTAGAAATATAGGGGAAATGCATCATCGCGGGCTTCCGCAGCAGATATTTACCATGAATGGCCGATATCATCCTGGAAGAAAACTCAAAATTAAAACCAAAAGCTCAGCCTTAATCTCCAGTCGAATGGATTGCACGCTCAATTCGGTATTGGATGGAGATATGGAGATAATCTAGGTTACTCTTGTCTCAGAGCTCTGTCAACAAAGGTCCACGCTAGTAGCCAACCCTGGTCCAATCCCGCCATCATACCATCAGAATGCGAAACTCCAGCACCCGAGGGAATGAATAGTTAAGTTACGGCCCCACATAAACGTCCCGTCCGCCACAGCGGGCGGGTGTCGATGTTTGAATAACGCAAGATGGACCTCGGAATTGTTGACGAGCTACGGAGGAGTGGTGTCGTAAGCCCCTTATTTGTCGAGCAACCCATGTGTGTACATACTCCTATTGCAGCAAACCCGACCCTGGTGGTTTTAGCCTTCCAGGCAAATGGAAATACATGGCCATTTCCTTTCGTTCTCGGTCTGATAAAACTTCGTTCGTTCAGCTGAGGTTCTCATGCTTGACCTGACAAATCGATTGCGATCACTGCTCATTTTACTCCGTGGGTAACTTAACTATGAATCTTGGATCCCCTGCATGTCCATTCCGACACACCCCTGCACAGGGTGGGGATCCCTGCTTCAGTCACAGCACGGGAGGTCAGTATTTGCAGGCCTGGAAACGGCATGATTGCTGAAGGAAGTAGCATTTCTGAACAACCTGAACAGACATAACCTTATTTGTCCCTCACATATTGTGCAGTGTGCAGAGAGCTAAAAGCGTCTCTGCTTCTCCTTAGCGACGTTTAATGGCCCAACCGTATGAAAAGCCAAAGAGGGTTAGGTTAGACTGGCGGAAATTGCAACAGAAGTATGAATTATGACCGGAGTGGGAGCTTCATGCCAAAACAGAGATGCGCGCGTGGGAAGGGCTCTGTGATGGCACCCCGGAAAAGTCCCGTCTTCATTGAATGCATGTAAATTGATTCGTCTAAACAAATTACTATATCTTATAGAAGAAAATTAAAAGAGGCTGTATCAAAATAGTACAACTAGCAATACGTCCAGCGCTGAGAGCTTAAAGGAATCAAAGAGGGCAAAAATGAAAAAACCCTGCCGCATAAGATCCGGGTCCAGCCATTGAAGAAGATCGACAAGGTAGTGAGAAAAGGGTGGACGAAAGCCTGGCAAAAAATGAAGAAAGTAACAGGAAGGAGTTCAAGTATAAGTTCTCTCACGTTTGACGGGACTTGGTGTTTTGGGATGATCGCCTTCCCCTGTCTCGGAAGCAGAATGAAGAGCAAGCTGCCTCGGCTGCCAGTCATCCTGCATTTTATTCGGTTTTCGATGGGTTATATTGACATCCTGACTAAACAGATGGCTAAATGTGGGATCGTAATAATGACCATGTCCGAATGACGGATGTTGGGAGGAATAGGGGATGTGCGACTGCTGTTGGTGAATTGGTTGGGATGGGTAGGGCATGTATGGATGAGACATCGGAGAGGGGGGATTGTTTGATTTGTTGCGAAAAAAAGAAAAGGTCAAATTCGAAACGGCGAAACATGAAGCTATCGAAGCGACAAAGAAAAACTGCGCACTCTCAGTTAGCAAAAGCAGCAGGTAACTGGTAGCGGGACAAAAAATGTTACTGACCATAGTTTTAAAACTAATTGGCTCTATAAAACCGTTGAAGATTTCTGCCAGAGTCTGTGCAGAGACTTTAGCTCTTCCCACTTTGGCAGGGTCGCGGTTCATGCATCTCTCCCAGTTCTCGCATATTGCTTCCAGTGCAGGTAATCTCCGCCCGTCCTCGCCACCGCACCGGTTTTCCATATAGTTCTTCGCGCAAACAGCCATATCAGCAAGAATATCGGCGGAGACCTTCTCACTCTCCCGGTCGACGTCTGCCTGAATCGCAAGCAGGAATGTGACAATGATGTAAAGCGTCAAGAAAGTGAGGACAAGGTTGAATATAAATTGAGCGTAGTATGAAAGAATGCGAGGTATGTGGGGATGTGATTCAAGGAAAGTGAAGAGGCGAGAAAAGAACGCAAACTCAAGTCCCTGAGAGGCTTGCGGGCCGTTTTGTGGGGCCGTCTCGACATTTGCGCTGCGGGTGCGTTCGTCGCTGTCGCTGTCGTCTCTGGTCTTTTGTCGCTTCCGATTGATTTCACGGTCGCGACGTCGCTTTTTATGGACTCTCGTAACAAGGACGTTTGAGTATTTGGTCTTCGGGATCTCACCCCGCCCGGGGCTGGGTGCGAACCGTCCGAAGAAATTAAAAAGAGAATTCCTTCTGTCTGCCTTTCCTATCTTTTCCGGGGTCTCATCGTTATCCGCGTTCTCTGGAGACGAAATATTTTCTGGATCGGATGAAAAGTCGATGTCTGCCTTCTGACGCGGGGTCATAAATGGAGAGTTGCGAGGTATGGTGGAGGACTGAGCGGGCGGTTGGGAGAAAAGGAAAGACTGAGAGGACGGCTCACGCAGGGCCGGGGTCGACGATTTTGCAGGTGAATCGAAAATGCTATAGGGACCTTCAGTAGCGCCAAGCAAATGCAGTTAGTGGAAGAGAAAATACGCGCAAATCCGAAGGTATATTGACATGAATTAACTCACGTTTCTTGTCCTTGTTTCGATTTTGGTGCTCCAATGCCAGCTGGTAGAACGGGGATTTGGTTTCTCCAGGAGCACGGTTCTGCCATTCAAAGTCCATAGGTGTTTCATGTATTCGTCTATCCATCGTGGTTGACCTCAAAGGCAGAGAGACGATTGTTGGGGCCTGGTGGTTGATAAAGTGATTGTCGTCTGGAGATCACAAACGAAAGGATTTGATGCCGAAAGCTTGTTGATGGCTGGCCCGACAACCGATATTTGTGCATTGCCTAGTCGGGCCTAGCGTCGGAGCGCAAGGAGTTGTGCTGAGTCAACACGCAACAAAGCAAATGCGCAGGAAACTCCTAACTCCTAACTATATGAAAGAAAATCTTGTTAGGTGGCCTTTCTGTGCTACACTATTTTTAATCGCAGGTGTAACTTATGTTGTGGACGTGCTTATAACGACTTGAACATACTTGTATCAGACGTTAGGGGCCAGATGAAGTATATTTTCCGTAATCTATCTGCAATTCCAAGATGCTCGAAAGGCACAAATCCCAACAACATGACCAACATCACCCTACGACTTTGCTCATTAGATCTTCAGGCCACTGGAGCTGGTCGATATGCAATTGGTCTTCGGGCCAATGTTATATCCTAATCCTGCTATCCCCCTTGGAAACTGTAACACTGGTTTCGCAATCTGAATTACTTTTCCAAAACACTCGGACTCTCCTTGAAGAACTCGGCTTCAAAAAGCTTCATTACAGCATTGGGTTTTAACATGTTAAGAAAAGTTGTGAGCGTGTAGCTCATATTATAGTAATGGTGGAACGCTTCTTTCCAGTTTTCATTCCACAGCTTCTCCCCCGCTACTTGCGAATATGTCCTAGAGGAATTATGCTAGCAATTGGGAATAATAGTTCAACGAGGTTCGATGGCTTGAGGATTGCGTATTAGCAAGCCTTTTCAAAGATCATTTAGCCTTGGGTTTCAAAGGAAGTAACACCCATCTCAGAATACAAACCTCCTTTTTCTGAGCCCCAGAACTTCACAATCCCTTGAAATACCAGTGCTGAGTACAGGCTAGCCTCGAGTTCGAGAAAACTGGCGTCACGGGCTGGCTCATCGTTCCCCATCTCGCGTCCAAAGCCTACCGATATCCCACAGTACTTAGAATGTGGGTTAATGGTGAAAGTGAAAGCACTGAGTAACTCAAAGAAGAATTATATACAAACAGCATCAAGGATCGGCTGCCCGTCAGTTCTGATCGTCCAAGGACTATTCAGACCACAGCTTTTTTCCCTCGCGTAGTGAACCCTTTGTTCGGTCTGTGCACGGATTTATTATATCCTGCATGCCAAGGCCCCATTTATCAAGGGTGCCGGGGTGATATCCCTGAACAATGATATCCGCGCCTCGTATACAAAGATCGCACAGTTTCTTGGTCCTCCGGCTTCCTAAACTCGAGGCATGCGTTCCGCTTGCCCCAGTTCAGACCGCAACGGAGCGAAGAGTAGTCAGGTAGATGCGAGCGAATCACTCCCATTACGCTCCTTGCCCAGCTAGTCCTCATCTAAATTGTAGGGGCACTAATTCCCCGGGTTACATCAAGGACTTTCAGCCCTGCTAGCGGCCCCCGAGTTGGGATTTCCAGCCACCCTGCTGGTGGCCGCGTAGAGGTTTGGGTGATAATGTATGGAGTACCTCAGGCAAACCGACACGAGCTTTGGATTTCCCATTTTTCTCTCTTATTATTAGAAAATCGTCCCTGCCTGCCGACAAACGTCCAAAATATGCTGCTCTAACCGATCCGAGTCAATACAGGAGATTTTGTCCATAGATGGCTTCATTGTGGCTTCAAGTGTGGCTTCCTCTATATCGTGCGGAAGGACATCAGTATCCAAACTCCCTAAATGCAAGCTAGTGCATTGGTGTACCTGTCAGTCACAGAGGTGGAAAAGACCTGGAGGCCTTCGCCTTGCAGATGTTCGCGCAAGCCGATCTATAAACCGTAGCGTGCTGTCGATGCGGGAAATAGTTTTCGGCGTTCGCATTGATGCTTTAGAAGCTAAATTCGCGGCAATTTCTCACCATTTGGCCTAATCATCCAGAGGAGTGACAAGATGGTAAAAAGGCTCGTATGTGTCCCACAGGACCCCGTGGATCTTGGTAAGCGGTATATTCGAAAAAACATAGTAGGATGAGGGAGCTGCTCGGCGTTCAAAATGGTGTAGTTGGGGTGATGTCCGTCCCTCGCCATACTTGTAAGTTAGAAGCACATTCAGTAGAGTACCTTCAAGTGATTTCAACGCGGACACGCTCTCCGCAAAATGTCAGTTGATCGGAAAACTTGGGTCATAGCACCATCGAAGTGAATCTCCGATCCATATTCTTGGATATTAGTGCGCCATTCTTTCTGTTCTCATTTTGAAGAATGTCATCAGGAAACGCTTTCCATGCCTCGCAGAACCATATATATATATATACTTTCCCAAATCTCCATATCAAAAAATGAGCCCTTATTCTCCACAATTATCATAAACGAACTGGATCCTGCGGAGTCCCAAAGAGTCTTGCTTGGCCTGAAGTTCGCGCCAAATTCCACGTAGAAGTAAGTGGATGTGTTGGGTAAAATGGTAACCCCTTCATGTGCAGGCGACCTATAAAATATCTATTTTCAGAAAACTTCCTTGGGTTTCTTCCAAGGGGGTGGGTAAGTCAGGGTCAGGTCGTTTCATTCTCAATACGGACCTTGAGGCTGATCGCCATGACCAAGAGAGTTGATAGAAACAGATAGCAACTCTGGTCTTCATCCGAGGCCCACTGTGGATCTAACCAACTCTGGTTTGGTGGCCTCGCTAGTGATCCATGGACGTCGACGTCGACCCGGGAGGTTTCCGTATCTTGTCGAGGCTGCTCTCCAGAACCCGCCCCCACCTCGAACAAGGAGTCGAGGAGAAAGCCGAAAACAGAGAAAAGAGAAGGAAATTGACATACATCATAGACCGAGTGCAACCTCTGCGCTTAGCCTCTTTTGCTGAGGTCCCTTTTCAAGGGCCAGGGATGGCATCGCCGGCGAAAAGTGCTCCAGAAGAACAACCGGTGGCTCGGGTACCCTCCGTTGCTGGCAAGAACAAGACTCGGGCCAAACAGTCCTGTATTCCCTGCAGGACTCGCAAGGTCAAGGTGGGAGGACACGACAGAATCTCACGTCCAGCGCGAAACCCAGCTGATCCGGTGGAATACTACACAGTGCGATCGAATAAAACCATGTCACTCCTGCTGTGTCCGCGGGCTTCCTTCCGAGTGTGAATATGTTGCGAGCAATGAAGATCGATTCCTCATCACCCAGGCTGACGCCGTTGCGAGCCTGAGAAAAGAGGTTGGGATGCTCAAACAACAGCTGGCAGCTCTTGGCCATGTTCCCCGCTCAGAGCTTGATGCAGCAGACAAAGACCTCAGTCAGACCTCAAAAAAGCCATCTCTGAAGAGGCCTCAACCGTCCCCTTCTGACCACGAACACTCGCTGGCCAATTCTGTCCCGTACGAAAAACATGCGACCTTAATGAGAATATTCGAAACTATCGCTACTGCACCTGAAGATATTGTCGCCAAGACAGTTGCCCAGATCAGAAAAGGCACTTTGCTGGATGACAGTTCCGCACCTCTATCGTGCTCATCGAAACATCCCTTCTCTTATGTGGAATCTCAATCATCCTCCCCAGAATCTTCGTTTAGTGATCCTCAAAGCGGAGGTATGTGCTTGCCCTGAACCTATAGCTAGAATCCTGCCAGCAATTACTTTTCATGGCTGATGCCAATAGCCTGCAGCGCAAGTAGATGACGAAGAATATAGACAATTCAAAAAGCACAATCCCGGACTAAAACGTGAATCCGTCGACAGAGCCTCTACTGGTGAGTTCTCAACGAGCCATCCACCGAATACCCCCGGCTCCCTAGTAGTGCGTAGGAAATCAGAGTGCGGGGACGCTTGTTTAAATACGCTAAATACACCCGAGAGCAACAAGGCTACGAATGGTAGTCAGCCTTCTCACGAATCTGAAGTTCCTAGTCAAGGTATGACAATCTGCTAAATTGATTGCGACACGTTGTTGCTCACAGTCTCCCAAAAGGACACCATGCTTCGCAAAACCGGGGACGGAACGAATGTTCTATCATGACGACTGTTTCTCCGAAAAATTTCTTGATGGAAGGTTTTCTTAACCACTTCCTAGATGATTTCAGCCCTAACGTCGACGGCAAAACCATCGGAACGTCCCAAACCATTCGCGCCGCTGCTGGCATTAGAATGTTTTCCCCGGTTCTCTCCGATGCCTTTAAAGCGGTTGCCCTGACTTACTTTGGCCACGAGGTCGCTGACCAACGAATCGAACGGACAGGGTCACAAATCCATGTTTCTGTGCTACGGAAATTGCAGGAAGCTATTAACAATATGCACCAGAGCAATTCCCAGGGTATTCTACTAACGGTCTGCCTTCTCATGTGTTTCGAAGTATGGATTTCCTTTCTTTCCCTATTTCCTTCATGATCATTTTCACCTGTCTCTTAACATATGAACACGTTGGACAGACTTTTCGGCGCACGACAAGCGAGTCTCTGGTGAGTCATGCCTACGGCGCGCTGAAACTTCTAGAGTACCGAGGTCCGCAGAGCCATATGTTCGGGCTAGACCATTATTGCTTCGCAGAACTTCGACCGTACTGGGTAAGTTGCGGACGTTTGTGTTTACAGCCGCTTTCCTTATATAGAGTGGCCAATTAAACTATATATAGGTAGCTATAACCCTAATCATCCGAAAACCGACATTTCTTGCCAAAGAAGAATGGAAAACTATACCTTTCTCAGCAGGTTCGTCCTCAAAGGACATGATGCACCATCTTCTAGATCAAGTGGTGGACATTCCTTCATACCTCGCGCAATTCGACCGGTTTATGGAGGGCATTAATTCAGGCTGCCTAAGTAACTCTGAAGTAGCAGCTACTCAAAGGATGTTATGGTCCTGGGTCAGCGATCTTGATCAGAGGTTACGCCAATGGAAGAAAGATTGGTTTGATTCAGTACCCTCCCGCCAACCCACCGAGGTGACAAAGCAAGGCGACGACCCATTTCCGGTATTTCGCTGCCGCGACCCTACCACAATGGATCTAATCACACCGACAACATTCGTGTATCCAGACCTACGGATCGCCCACACGATCTGCGTGTACTACGCGTCACACCTCGTCCTTTCGGCATCTGATACAAGACCGTCGGCCTCCCTGCAACCCAGCCAACAATACGAGTTCGCATGTAACATTTGCCGTAGCATGGAGTACTTCATACGCAAGGCCCCAGGCAACCTCGTTAACCGGATGGCGTTTCCTTTACGTGTTGCCTTCGACGTGGTGATGGAGTCCAGCGTGGAACGACAATTCATCATCGACATATTTCGGTTGGTGAATGACCGGAACAAGCTCAAGCTCTGGGGCACCACAATCCCGGAAATATCGTCAAAGAACCGACTTCGATAACCACACCTACCAATTCTATGTTTCATATTTTCTGGCATGAAATAGCATGGCGTTTGGGGAGGCTGTCTTCTTGGGTAGGGGAGGAAGGGGAAGGGGTTATTCTTGTTATGGGTTATTGGGGTGGCGTTGATTTGCTCTCTTGGATTTGATTTTTATTTAGTCACTTGTTGTACCTTTCGTTGTATGTATCTGAACATGTAGATTAATTTATTCAGATGGATTTTCTTTTGACAAATAAAAAGTATGTTGAGTCTTCATTTTTTTGTTTTCTTTTAGGTAATTACATAGTTACGTGTTTGATAGGTGTAGGAACAAACCATGGGCTTTCTCTTCGAGCATAACTTACCCTTTCAAAAACGTCGATGACGTATGAGAATAGCTCACTACTACAAAATCCACAAATTTCAAACATGCTAACTCAACCGTTATTAAATCCTCATTTTTTCGACATCTCCCTTCGGATATGAATCAATGCATCAGTGAAGTAGAAAGCCAGGCACGAGCCAGGCCAGACATTAAGACATAAGATACTATAAGTTACACACCCCCGGCTGCGGTTGGCGCCGCACAGTTCCATGCCCAAGATATCATGCGGCTTGCGCCCGGCGAATGCACGCTGCCATTCGAAGTTGCAGCTTCAAACAACAAGGCATGCCAGCTAGTTAGTTGCACATGCTGTAATCTGTAACCAACTTACATGCTCGTAACGGTCGTGTAAATCCCCCGGCAGGCCTAGAGCGTGCGATCACTGCGCCGTCCCATGCCGAAACAGGCATGCCGGCAGCAGCAGCTGCTCGGGTTGCACAGTCATAAATTGGAGGGGAAACACAGGCCACTCACCAGCCGGCTCAAACAAAGGCAGCGAAATGCAGGGAAGGTCTGTTGTGCAGATGCGGATGGTTCTGGAGCTTTGCGTCTCTCCTATTTGTCCACGTGGATAACGAACGCCCTGTTGGAACGGGAGGTGGAAGATGAGCAGGTTAGAAGCTCTAGGAATCGAGGGGACACATGGATAGGTGGGTGACTCCGTTTGCATATATGCATGCATATTTGCTTGCGAATATGATATTTTCTGTTGTCTGGGGGACTGACAAGCTGTTTGAATTTTGCGATAACTGGCTCTTATGCCGTTGTAGAAAGACTGCTGCTGGTGATTGGCGGAAGGAAAGTGAGGCCTGTGTGGGAGTAGTGTTGGAAATCAAGTTTATGCGTGAAGTTCTAAGCAGGGCAATGCAGTGATTGAAGTTTTCAAAATCCCATTCTGTCAAACACAATCTTCCATTCTTCTAATAATGAAATTGGTGGTGAGGACGTTCTGATGCCAGTGAAAGAAAATAAAAGTATGGCAACAAAGGAAAAGAAAAGAAAAGAAAGAAAACCAAGTTACGTCCATACTATCATACAAGTTTCAAGTCCTCAAGAAGCACGTTGCGCCGCCGGATTGCTCCTCTCATGATGCTTGTCCAGTTCTAAAATAATCCCAGGCTCAGTTCCAATTCCATGCATGCGGGAGCTCGCTCGTCTATACCAGTAGTTAAATATTCCAAAAACAAAAAGTTCCAAATAAATAAAGGCGGAAAAGAAAACAATTAAATCCATCCTAAATAGGACTTCCGTGGCGAAAAACAAAAATGGGGACCCCCCGGTTGGCAGAGGGGGCTGGTTTCGTAGCTGCCATTAATAACGGAAACAGGAACAACACGCTAAGCAGCAAAAAGCCCAAAGAAGAACAAAGCAAAGGAGTCATCCAGTGAAGGCGAAATCAAAGAGCTACATGTGTGCAACCAACGTTACTAGGGCCGGCTCTCCTTCTCCTGTCAAGCTACACGTCCGCACGGCTAATGAACTCAAAATCGTCATCATCAGCCATGTATCCGTCGCCATGTCTACTTGAGGGCTCTTCGCTGCCGACAAACTCGTATTCGCGAGCCAGCTTCTCCGTCTCTTGCGTTTCGAACTTCTTCACGGCATTCGCGAGGGCGGTGCTGAGGATGTCACTCCCCTGGCTGGGGCCTGTGGGTGCATCGAAGGAGTAGAAGACATTCGGATCATTTGCAGCCTCGCAGTCATCGGGCGCGTTATCGGAATCGGCAGAGGAGTCTGAGTGGGTGTGGTCGTCGTATAATACTTGGTCGACGACGTAGCTGAAGTAGGCCCGTTTATCGGCAAACCTCTTGTTGATTTCCGTCTGGTTGAGGTCCCGAAGGGTCTTGCAAGCCCTGTAAGTTGGATTTCGTTAGTCAAGGGTTCGTTTAGACATTGTCGTCACAGGTAAAAGAGGATAGAGAGAAGCAGCTCTTTTATCTGTAGGGGGGGGGTTGAGACGGGCCTGGCTTACTTGCTGCTCTGAGATGGCATGGGACGGATCCGGGTATAGCCAGGATTCCGAATTTCGTGTCCCAGTGGAGTCAATTTGGGGTCTCGGAAACCTAAAGCCCACTTTTCGTTATGATCGCGAACACGTTTGGACTGGGTAGCAGCACGGCGAAGGTCAGATTCCGGAAGCGAGAAGACCTGAGAAGTCATGATGAGATCCGCGAGGGGAGAGTTCGATGTAGATGGCAGATAGATGGCGAAGTGTATGCGTAGAAACTCGTATAAAGTGGGTGCAGCAAACGACAGAACAAAGCAGGATATGATCAAGGATAAAAGAAGGATCTCAGATTCACCGGTGACTATGAGAATGTGTATAGAAGAAGTGTGAGTTCCGAGGCGCTAGTTCACCAGGAGGATTCAACAGTCGTGTTTTGAGAACAAACGAATGGTGACACAATGGTTTTAGTGCGCGTTATATGAAGCGAGGTACCAAGCAGGCGGATATTGAGAATAAAGAAACCAAGCAGGGAGGGGAAAAGAAAGCAGAGCCACCAGGGCAGAGGTATGTATATATATATATATATGATCTCGATGTAGGAGGAGGCAGATGCCCCAGATTTGATCACTGACGAACGCAAGTCACCCGACTGACATAAGCCGGGGAGTCACACAATTAGCACGACGCCAGTCCTATACAAGTCTAGTGCGTGGCGTGCCCTGGCGCTGGTGGCGGGTGCTGGTCCCTGGGCCGGTTTGTTGATGTCATCGCCGACGAAGATGCAAAGTGTCGGCTGCGGACTGGTGACTGGTGACTGTGTCGCGACAGTCAACTGTGTGGACGGCGTGAACTCTGTGGAGACATGGAATCCAAATAAACCTGAAGTTTTGGGGCGTGGACCCAAGTTTTAGGCGTCGAGACCCCCAAGGACCCCCCAAACTCTCTGGGCCTGGTTAACTGGTGTGTCAGCCTAATTCTCCAGATTTGTTCCACGTTCTATCATCCATCTCCCCTCTATACATGTATTTCATTCTTTGATTACAATGTAGCAGTACATGTGCTTTTTGGTGAAACTTCTTCAACCTGTAGTTGCCCAGCCTTGTCGTCCTGTCTGGAGGAAAAGCGAGATGACTCAACCCGGCCAGTGGCTGTGACTATCCCTCATCTGCTCCCCGCTGCAATCCTCTGCGCCGCGTCCGAAACCAACCGTGCCCATCTCTAATCTCCAATCTCGCAAAATCTCCCTGCCAAGCTAAACCTGGTGGAGCAGCATGGCGCTAGATTCTACTAGACTCCCTTGTCTAACTTCCGTGATGACTCCAGCAGATTGCGCTAGCCCACCTCCAGCGCCAAGGCGTTGATGGGTTCTCGCGTGTTCCAGTCATTCGCCAACAATCCAGGCTGAAGAATCATGCAATCTGCCTATCTTTGTCGAGCAGGCTGGTGAATAACCGACGTAGACGTGAATCATGAAACTGTTGTCACTGATCTTCTCTCACGTTCAACTCGCAAGCTCATTGGCGTTCTTCTTCCTGGGGATTAGGGTTAACCAAGAAAAAATAAAAATAAAAATAAAAACCAAAAAGAACACATGGCTGTCGTCATTTTCAAGCAAAATCAGGCCATCCCTCGGATTTATCCTGCTAAAGCTACCTTGTAACTCGCCAGACCATCTTCGTATGGGAATGTCCAAAGTCTGACGCCTGTTGCTGTGTCTTAATCCGAAAACGGGATTTTGTCATAAAAAGCAACGTAATTCAGACATGCCAGGATACAAATGAGGACCGTTAGTCTTGAGTTATTAATACCATCCATTCCAGACAGTCGGACATCTGTCTGTCGCGTCTGAGACAACTCCCGCATCATCCCCGTTTTCTTGTTTCCAGCGGGATTAACCACGGGCTTCCAAACGGCCCGGGAACAGCTCAAGTCGCCCAGCTCAACTTTGGAGGGCGTTGGGATTCCAGGCCCTCCGATTATCCCCCTTCATATCTACTCTTGACTGCCTCCTGCTTCCTCCGCTTCCTCGTCGGATGCATCACCAAGCTCCTCCCGAGGTAGTTGATCCGGGAACCATCCAAACCGGCCAAGTTCAACTGCATACTCGAAT